TAGAGCGAGAAGAAGCAGACCTGATGAAGGACTCAGCTTGGAGCCCATGGAAGGAGAAAAAGCAAACCTAATGAAGGACTCAGCTTGGAGCCCATGGACGAGAAGAAGCAGATCTGATGAAGGACTCAGCTTGGAGCCCATGGAACGAGAAGAAGTAGACCTGGTGAAGGACTCAGTTTGTAGCCCGTAGAGCGAGAAGAAGCAGACCTGATGAAGGACTCAGCTTGGAGCCCGTAGAGCGAGAAGAAGCAGACCTGATAAGGACTCAGCTTGGAGCCCATGGAACGAGAAGAAGCAAACCTGACGAAGGTCTCAGCTTGAAGCCCATGGAACAAGAAGAAGCAGACCTGTTGAGGGACTTAGCTTGGAGCCCATGGAACGAGAAGAAGTAGACCTGGTGAAGGACTCAGTTTGTAGCCCGTAGAGCGAGAAGAAGCAGACCTGATGAAGGACTCAGCTTGGAGCCCGTAGAGCGAGAAGAAGCAGACCTGATAAGGACTCAGCTTGGAGCCCATGGAACGAGAAGAAACAGACCTGATGAAGGACTCAGGTTGTAGCCCGTAGAGCGAGAAGAAGCAGACCTGATGAAGGACTCAGCTTGGAGCCCATGGAACGAGAAGAAGCAGACCTGTGAAGGACTCAGCTTGGAGCCCATGGAACGAGAAGAAGCAGACCTGGTAAAGGACTCAGCTTGGAGCCCATGGAACGAGAAGAAGCACATTTGATGAAGGACTCAGCTTGGAGCCCATGAAACGAGAAGAAGCAGACCTGATGAAGAACTCAGCTTGGAGCCCATGGAACGAGAAGAAGCACATTTGATGAAGGACTCAGCTTGGAGCCCATGAAACGAGAAGAAGCAGACCTGATGAAGAACTTAGTTTGGAGCCCAATATAACGTGTTAAAAGCAAACCAAAAGATAGAAGATGTCAACAAACGTTTTTCATCAAAAATCTATAAAACTCATCATACAACTTTCCAAACATTGGTATGACTCACCAGATACAAACAATAAGATCATATGGGTGAAAGTAAAGAATATAATAATATGTCAATAAAATTATATCCACAACCAATGAGGCTTTTTTCCTAGTACCAGGGCTCATCAGACATGTTTCTCTGTTGAATTTTCACACAAAGCTATCCTAATACTAGCCATCCCTAATTTAGAAGTAATAGCATGGTGGGAAGGCAGCTTGTAAACACCATACCTTAGCAACTCTTTTACCAATGAATAGTTGAAATGACTGTGATTTATAACACTCCCATGGATGAAAGGGCAACAATGTTCAAGAAATGGTTTCAATCCTGTGAACCACAGATTGCGAGTCAAACACCCTAACAGCCAGATCGTGCCAGGTCCGACTCTCTGTTATTAGTCTTATTAAGGTGCCCTTGTTGGCCGAAACTATTTTAATTTTGGTTTTAATCATTACGTGTCCAAGGATCATGACCACAGTCCAAGAAAAATGTGGATTACTGCCAAAACCATCTATACAAATTATGAATTCACAAACTCATAACGAAGCCAAAACCTGGGTTTCAATAACAATAAAACTTTCACCTCTGTGTTATTTAAATATTCCAAAAATTTTCAGGACAAAATAAACTTATTCAGGCGACTTCCAATAGTGTGGTTTGTGGTGCTACCTGGTGATAAAGAGCTCAAACTTTTCATGACAGACTATTTTGCTTCATACTTTACGCCATGCCTAATCAAACCTATGCATTGAGAAATCAACACACCATTTTTGAAGAATCTGCAGGACATCTGGTGTCAATACTCTACATTTTATAAAATAAAACTTCTGGACTTTGATAGTTTCATATCTACGAGTTTATTATCATTAATAAGCTTAGTTAATTTTGGGTTACAGGTCTTAAGATGTTTCATATGAGACCTCATTACAGAGAAAACAGTACCTTTTTTTAGGGCACCCAATGATGCACAAATATATCACATTATTAATTTAATGAAGCTTGAAACATATACAGTTCAACTATTTTTGTCTGTTTCATCATAAATATGATTAGAGATAGTGTAAAGACAAACTATTTATTTCTGAGATATGGAAATTGATGTTTTACGATGCATTGATCTGTGCTGCCATCTGTTGACTAGGAATGACTTTTGAATTATACTATAAATTACCACGAATACCTCTACCTATCGCAAGTTATCCTTTTAATATATAAATGTTGAATTATTAGTGCTCCTTCAAAAAATCTGTTAATTTACCATAACATTCATTCTTGGTCTAACCGGTTACGTGTTTTATAATTTCTTTAAGTGGCAATTTCACTGTATAATTAAGATATCTAGATCAAATATCATATTCAAACATCAAAGTTGTTTTCCTTCATAGCAATGTTGTTGTTTTTAGATCGGGACTTCCCACAGTGTGGGGTCACGACCTCACCAAAGCCACGGAAGATGTGTATTGAGACCGCATATACTCCGGAAAGTAATACATTTCTGTGAAAAATGTACAGAAAAAAAAAGCAATATTTTATTACATTCTAGAATTAAACAATAAAATAACAATTCTTTACAAAGCATCAAATGCGAATACCTCTGCGAATCGGGATTTTCCTCACTAGAGCAACAGAACATAAAATAGTTTATACTGTTGCCCAATGAAAGCTGAGGCTCGCAAATAAAAGTATTTTAACGTAAAGAAAACTTTACAGAAAAAGTGTAATCGACTGAAGGATGTGGAAACAGATCTATGATTAACTATTTCCCATCAAACTTGGAGAAAACATGATTGTTGAAACAAGTGAATAACACAACACTTGAAACCATGTTTGTTGAAACAAGTGAATTACACATAACACTTGAAACCATGTTTGTTGAAACAAGTGAATTACACATAACACTTGAAACCATGTTTGTTGAAACAAGTGAATTACACATAACACTTGAAGAAACCATGTTTGTTGAAACAAGTGAATAACACATAACACTTGAAGAAACCATATTTGTTAAAACAAGTACTAACACAACACTTGAAGAAACCATGTTTGTTAAAACAAATGAATAACACATAACACTTAAAGAAACCATGTTTGTTGAAACAAGTACTAACACATAACACTTAAAGAAACCATGTATGTTGAAACAAGTCAATTACACATAACACTTGAAGAAACCATGTTTGTTAAAACAAGTACATAGCTAATAACACTTGAAGAAACCATGTTTGTTAAAACAAGTACATAGCTAATAACACTTGAAGAAACCATGCTTGTTAAAACAAGTACATAGCTAATAACACTTGAAGAAACCATGCTTGTTAAAACAAGTACATAGCTAATAACACTTGAAGAAACCATGTTTGTTAAAACAAGTACATAGCTAATAACACTTGAAGAAACCATGTTTGTTAAAACAAGTACTAGCTAATAACACTTGAAGAAACCATGTTTGTTAAAACAAGTACATAGCTAATAACACTTAAAGAAACCATGTTTGTTGAAACAAGTACTAACACATAACACTTGAAGAAACCATGTTTGTTAAAACAAGTACATAGCTAATAACACTTGAAGAAACCATGTTTGTTGAAACAAGTACATAGCTAATAACACTTGAAACCATGTTTGTTAAAACAAGTACATAGCTAATAACACTTGAAGAAACCATGTTTGTTAAAACAAGTACATAGCTAATAACACTTAAAGAAACCATGTTTGTTGAAACAAGTACTAACACAACACTTGAAGAAACCATGTTTGTTAAAACATGTACATAGCTAATAACACTTAAAGAAACCATGTTTGTTAAAACAAGTACATAGCTAA